ACAAGCAAAGGATGGGACATGTAATAAAATACAAGAGACAATGATTCTTAAAACACACAGTGACAATTTATTTTGTCATTAACATCATCAAAACAACTCTATATATCAAAACAACTCTATACAAGCTCAAATTCATTCTTTCTTTCTTTTCTTTCCACATCATGCTTACACAACCTAGTTTCTGTCTGACGGGATGCACTATGACCAAAGCATTTGTGCTTGCCCTGGAGATGAACATCTAGGCCCATGCCATGGCAACAAAAAAAAGAACCAAACACTAAACAAACTTATTAAGTCATTTTGGGGAGAAGTAATAACATGCTAGTAAGAGAACCTTTTTGAGTTCAGCACAAACAATGCAGTAGACTCCCCGGTGAGCTATTTCCAACAACATCATCCTGCGGTGAATCTCTCATCAAAAGTCAGGATGGGAACCTTCATATTTGATGCAACTATTTGACCCGTTTAGGCAATGATTCTTTTAACCTTGAACTCTTTCTAATTCTAATATTTAATCTTTTCTGCACAATGCATGAAAATACATATAATATTAGTTGCTTATTATAATTTGTCTCTATGCAACATATGATTACATATAAAACTAATTTCTTAGTTTCTATCACTGATCAATTCCTGAACTAACTTCCTCCAGTCAATCTACCAGATTGCAGTTCCACATTCCTACTATACAGCAAACCTATACGAGAAAAACGTCTTCAGAATTTCCTTGTGCTTGTTGACATGAATATCCTATATAAAGATGCTTAGCTTGTGATCAAATTACAGATGCTCAGTTAACTTCAGCTACCATATATTAGCCTTTTATAAAATCAAATTAAGAACAACAGTAACACAGGTGAATTGCACAAGCAATAGCAAATGTTATATCCTATAAGGCAACAGCATTCAATTAAATATCTCGAGCTAAAAAAACGAAACACCAAAAACATACCAAGTTTTTGGGCATCACCAAACCACTTGCTCATCAAATTGGAAATCCTCACATTAACAAACACAGCTCCAGACTCCTTTGCAATAGCTTTAGCAAGCATTGTCTTTCCTGTTCCAGGAGGTCCGAACAGCAAAACCCCTTTCTGCGGGCCAAGCAGCTTCCCATAGGCAACAACTGAGGCCTCCGCGACGGAAGAATCACCAATTCAAACAACGCCTCCTTCATTTCGTCTAACCCTCCAATCGACTGAAGATCCACATCTATGTGATCCGAATTCACAATATCACAAGCTATAACATCCTGCAATTTATATTTTTTATTAACTATATGAGAGTCAGACTGTCCGAGAAAATGAGGTACATCAATCAGCAAAGAAAGAAATTGAACGAAAGCAAGGGAAAATGTCGTGTTGCCTCGTAGGGGGTGGTGTGGATGAGAGGACGGCCCAAGCGTTTGGAGAGTTGTTTACGGTGTTGGAGTGTTTTTCTGGAGGCTTCTTGATTGGTGTCAAGGTATCGAAGGCCTGCGAACAATACCAAGCAACTCAACGAGACGCTCGTGGCGTATAATTAGAGTTCCTGCAAGAGACTCCTATATCCTGTCCGTACGGTCCGCCATTGGCAGAAGAAAATTAGGGCTTTAAGCTTGCAATTTCA